GATTAATTTAATATTCACCAAGCTTATTATTATAAATATTCCTTCTATTCATAATATTCGTTTGTATTTTCTTTGGTGTAGTTCTTCATTAAATTATAATAATTTTCCAAAAATAATAATGACAAAGGAAAATAATTTATAATAATAATTCATAAGATCAATTTGGAAAAAAATGTAGTACAACAATTTTAACCAATCACGATATTGAAATAATCAGCCAATAAAATGGGTATTCAATCATGCTATGTATTACTGTGATACACACTGTAGTATTAGTATAGTTGGCTCAGTCTAAAGACCTCCTAAATTTTGGGCAAATTTTAAAAGTATAGAAGTCACTTTCTGTCCTACATTTTTAAAAAATAGTGTTATTGGTTGATAGAATAGGTCTTTAATTTTAATGTAATAACGAGATATTCTCAAAAAAATTGTTTGTCGTAGAGTTCTATTCTTTTTTAAAACGTACTTTACTTACTATACTGGAATTTGTCCGCTGCGATCATTACTAAATTTAGACTAGCTTTCGAATATCGTATATATATATATATAACAAGAAATAATTTTTAAAACTAAAATTACGTGAAGTCCTATTTTTTGAAAAATTTTAAAAATTCTTTGAACGAATTATAAAATTGCTATTTTTTGAAATTAGCCATATGGCGCAGAAATGGGAGGTCTTTAGACTGAGCCAGCCATACTATTGAATAATTGATAAAACGTTCGTTAGTATATTTTGCAAACTTCATAGACCTTGTCCTTAATTCTTACTTCGATCACTCCTACACAAATTATTGAATAATTGATAAAACATTCGTTAGTATGTTTTGTTCATAGATCTTGTCCTTAACGCTTACTTCGATCACTCCTACACAAACTATTGAATAATTGATAAAACGTTTGTTAACTTCATAGATCTTGTCCTTAACACTTACTTCGAACTCTTATATCAACTGGATCTTAATCTTTATTATCATTCTCAAAAAAGATGATTCGTTGTCGTCGTTTGCTATTTGTTGCTATAACAATTACTGATTGATGGATATTCATAATAATCATTAATGAAATTTTAATCAATATAAAGTCAGAAATATAAAACAATCACGAATAAAATACCTTTTAGTTTTTGCTGAATCCCATCTACATAAAATTCATGACTATTAAATTTCTATAAAATAGTTTTTTCGTGAAACTCTCTAAACTTATTAACCAATACCCCCATAAAGTAATGACAATATGAAAGCTTAAATTATTCTACACCCTCTCATCTACTATCAAGTCTTTTAAAGTGATATTGAGAAATAATCTGAACTTTGAAGCAAAAAAGTAATACCGTTTTTGAATAGCTGTGAATTCATGTAGAGAAAACCTTTCAATACGAAAAGGTATTCATTAGAACGCTTTAATGGAGTACTTTCATTTTACTCTAACAACAAAGTTAGAGTTTATTATAAAAATAACGAGATATTTTAAAAAACCTTCAAATTTAAATTCACATATCAGATATGGGCTCCAGAATCCAAATGGGCTTATAATTAACTAACATGTATATAAAGAACTCAAATTTGACCTACTGTAAAAATAACTTTCTAACAAGTTAATGAGTTTCAACTAAGGAAAACTAAATAAATAAAATAAATATTTTATTTAAACGTTTATCTTCTTTAAAACAAATTTATCCGCTAATACAAAAATTAATACCTTTTCACCCTGATCCACATAAACTAGAAATAATTGTTATCACCAATTAAAATACGCTCTCCCAAACTTAATCGGTGACAATACCCAAGCTCATAAGTTAGGTAAAAAACTATTAAAAGGGTTTAAAATTTTTAAATTAAAAAAAAAGCCTAGTCAATTAACTGGTATTATTGTTGTTAATAACTATAAAGAAAAATTTACTGACAAATATAAAATTATACCAGGTGAAGCAAAAAGAAAAGGTGAAGAGCTAGAGGAGTTTTTCGATTTGGAGTTTATAATCTTTCAGCCAATTTCTGAAGAATCCACTAAATATGTTCCAGAAATCATCAACGGGAATGAAAGAGAACTCTTTAAATGGTTGGTGGAACATTGGTATTGGTTTTAGAAATCTAGCTACTTATTGAGAAAATGCCAAAAAGAAAAAGATAAAATAGATAATAAATTTGTTCCTATTATTTTCCTTTTAAAGATTTTGGCTTTTTATTAGGTAATAATACATCATCATGATACTTTCTTTTTCCAACATTTATTATTTTTTCTTTCTTCTTGATAAATTTCATAGGTGATTTTCTCTTTTCTTAGATAAGCTTCAAGTGTGTGAGTGTCATTTATTTTGAAATGTAAAAGGCAATTTTTTCACCTTGTTCTCTCTTCAAAATACTTCTAATTGTACTATAATTCTTGGTAGACCTGGGGCATGCTGCTGCAACAAAACCAGACAAAGTGAACATTGGTATTACCAAGAATTTCAGGGATAAAATTTAGTAATGTGATTATTAAAATCTTCCATTTGTTATCCTCTTAATATTAGGTGATATATAGAATTACTCCTATATAAAAATAATATGAAACTCATTTACATTAGATCTACCATGGAACCCAAAAATTACAGCACATTAGAAGTATTCTAAAGAAAGAACAAGGTGAAAAAATTGCTCCTTATATTTTCAAAATAAATGATACTCAGACATTGGAAACTTATCTAAGAAAAGAAAAGATTACCTATGAAATTTACTAAGAAAGAAAAATAATAAACACTAGGAAAAGAAAGCAGGATGAGGATATACAATTGCAAAACAAAAGACAGAAATCTCTGGACAAAAAAACCTAATGCAAAGTTACTATCTACTTTTATTTTTATTTTTTAAATAAAATTTTTAAAATCAATACCAATTATAATGTTTCATTCCAACTATAACTTTCTTTTCTTGTGATTGAAACCTGATTTTTTTTTGTAAAATATATTTGTAAACATAGTTTATATAAATAAAAAATCATGACTAAAAAAGAATGTTTTAATTGTAAAAATACAAAAGAAGGTTTAACTGTTAATTGATGAGATAAAGAAAATAGAAAAATCATTAAATTTTGTTGCTGAGAATGTTCCCAAAATTTAATTCAACAAGAATTGGATAATAATATTACTGACTGAGAAAGAAATAAAAAGAAGATTTTTAAGGAAACCTTAACAAAGGTTAAAAATAAAGAAAATAATGTTAAATGCAAAAGAATTTCATGAAGCGAGTGTTTGAACGCGAAAGAATTGCACAAATTCGTGTTACTTGGAATCTAAAATAAAAATGGCCGAAATTACATAATAAATTCTAATTTTGGTGATTCAATTTTGTTTCACAATCAAATCAAACTTCGGAATTGAAGATGAACTGGAGATAAATAAAAAAGGACAGAACTAGGTCTAGAACAGAAATTGTCAAAGAGAAATGTACAAGCCTCCAAAATTAGTACTAAAATTGCTGACGATTATTTCCAATACTTGAAAAAGAAAGAAGAATTGAATAAACTAAAAACTGGTAAGTCAATTTCAGCTGACAATTGTCACCGGAATGCGAATTTGACCTTAATTCGCTGATCAATAACCCCGAAATTCCGTAGTAAAATTTCATAAGTTAATCACGTTGTTTATATCGTTTTTATTATTATTTATATCATTTATTTATTTATTATTTATTTTTAATTTTATTATTTATTTTTATTTGTATTGATATTCCGAATGATTTAATTAGTTATATGAGCTCGTGTTACATTCCGCAGAATTGATACATTAATATTAGACCTTTCTTTATTTAGTAAAAATTGATGAAAGTTATCACAGATTGGGATAAATATCCCAAATTGGGATACATATAACTCAACATGTATATAAGGAACAAGAATTCGCTGTAGTTGAAGAATAACTTGGTAACAAATTAACTTAATAATAAGTTAATAATTAGTTTCAACTAAATACAAAATCTAATAAATCATTTTATCAAATCACTAAAACAAAATTATTCACTAATAACAAAATCAATTCATCGATCTCCTATTCATTCTGATCCACATAAACTATTAAAAATTTGTTATCATCAATTAAATCACACTCTCCCAAAGTTAATTGGTGACACAATCAATTCACAAAAGTTGAAGATAATAAAAACAAATCAGAAAATAATACCCCTGAAGTGGGCAATAAAATCGAAAACTTGGTGATCAGATAAGAGAAAGAAAATCTAGAATGGGGAAAACAATTGGAAATTGCTTGAAAAAGAAAAAAGGGGAAATTCCTTGAGAAAGTTGAGAGACCAATGAGGGATTAGATAACTGAATTAAAGAACTAGAGGGAAAAAAAATTAGATATAATATAATGATAAGAGAATTAGGAAATTTATCCTATGAGGTTCAAGGCAGTCAAGAACAAAACCAAACTAATCGACTTTCTCATTGTGCTCAGTGTAACAAAAAAACTGTTTCAATGACTGATATAAAAAATGTTTTTTTTTCTTTAAAGATGAACTAAAAGGATTTAATAAATTAAAAGGAGAGATTGATGAAAAAGAGAGAGTTATTTGTCACAACATTTTAAGGTATATTTTTAATAGCTATAGTGAAATTAGCAATGAATCATGACATTCTTAAAAAAAAATAATTAATTATCTTGAAAAATGCCTATTTTCTGGGCAACAATCTTGTTTTATCACTATTGCTGCTGCTAATATTATTTGTTCTTGTTTAAAAGGAAAAAAAATAGATTTTGTCCTAATTTTCAAGTATTTAGTGATATATCACAGTTTTCTCACCGATAGAATGTATAAAGCTGGTATTATGAGGAATAGTTACAATGAATAGGGCACTGTGTGCATAATTCCTCCCATATATAAAATAAAGATAAAAAAAATTTAATATTTTATCTTAAAATATAATTATATTTTATATTGTATTTGTATATCTCAGGTGGCAGAGATTGTGGAGATTCTGGTAGTGATGATACTTCTGATAACAATGATGATGTTGTTGGTGGTGATGATCTCTGTAAAAAAAAAAAATTTAAATAAATGTTATTATCTACTATTAATGTTTCAGTTTATACTTACTATTACACTGTTTTTTCAACAACGTTTTTTTTTGTAATGGCCTGCCAATGTTGTAATTTATTCATTGTAGCCTTCTAAGGTTATAACTCATCTGTAAGATTTTTAAAAACATAAATGCATAAGTTGACAATAAATTAACATATTAATATATCAATAAACAGAAAAGTTTGTTAAATGCTTTCTTCTCCCAAACCACCAACATTATTATTATTATTTCCATCATTATTGTTGGAGTTATTATTGCTTGATATAATTGGATTATTTACTGTGAAATTATTTTCATCATTATTGTTGGAGTTATTATTGCTTGATATAATTGGATTTACTGCGAAATTATTTTCACCAGAATCATCTAAAATACCATTATTTCTATCATATAACTCATTGTCCTGTGGTTCAATGTAGTTACTACTATTACTACTGTTACTGAGATTATCAACCTCATCATAAACATTTGAGGCATCACTAGGGTTTTTATTCATGAATAACATAAGGGGGTCAGGTCACACAGGGTCACACACTATTAAAATCAAGGATTTTTTGCTGTTTTAATAGTGTGTAACCCCCTTAATGATATTAATGATATTCATGAATAAAAACCCTAGGCATCACCATCTTTGTCAAAATAGCCATCTAATTTTTCAGTTATTCTCATAAGTGAAATTTCCAATTTATTTAAAAGATCGCCATCTTTTTCCAATGCATCTTTAATTATTTGTTCATTTGTCCCATAAATTTCACAAGGTTTTCCAATGGCACTTTCTTTAAGAATCTTTATTCATTGGGGAAATTGATATTAGCTTTAAATTCTATAATCAAAAAACTGAATTCACTAAAAATAAAATGAGCCATTTGATGACAAAACTGAAAGGAAGGTGAGGAGTAGTAATAGCTAGGATGTTTGAAACAAATATTTTTTTGTTATTATAAGCTATATAGAATGATCAAGTTACAATGATTGCAGCTACCACTACTATTATTTTAATAATAACTAGAGTGATGAGTGGCGGGTGATAACCACCACCACCATCCTTCTTAAAACACTTACCCTTTTACTTCTTCAGCATCTTCTTCTCTTGTTTTTTGTTTAGGCCTTTTGATGGCATTTTTATTTTTTTTTGATCTAAAAAAAAAATGCATTAAACATTAAATAAAAAATAAAAATAAAAATAAAAAAAAAAGAATTTCTTGTTACAATGAATTTAAACATTGGCCCCTTTTTAAAAATGTTTGTGGAACAAATTTATTAATAAAATCCATTATGACAAACAAAATAAATAATATTATTAATTTTTTTTTGGAAAAACAAAAAACAAATTATTTTTTGACAGAGTCCAAGGTGACAAAATGTGAGTGTTGTTGTTTGGTTTGGTTTGGTTTGGGTCTCCCAAAGAAGAAGTGTTAATAACTAACCAGAGGTACTTTTTTTAATTTATAATTTTGAGTAGGGGGTTTTGCCCAATCAATCTCCTGTCCTATAGATTAAAATTATCACATGATTATATATATCTTTGCCAGCAATGTGGCCAACAAGAAAAAAGTTATAAAATGGTTTGGATTTTTAATCATTTTCCCAAATTTTCTGTTTTGTAAATTTTTGTTTAACCAATTGAATTTGTTATTTAAGTAAATGGGGGTAGGGTTATTGGTGAGACCAACAAGACAGCACCTCAGGACTCAAAACTCTGAATCCAAAACAGCAACCCAGGTTGTAACCTTCAAACCAGTTGCAGACACCGACTTTATTCTAGAGGGTATAACACAAAGCAATTATGACACAAGCACCAGCTATCAGTGTTCAATGTCCATATGGCAACAGCCAAGCCTGGTCTGAGAGGAATGTTTTGTCCAAAGTCTTCCAACTTGTTCAAATCACTTTTGCCTGTGGGAAAAATTCCATGGTGCTGAATGTTGTTTAATTGCAGAGAGTTTGCATGTTTATGATAGGAAAATTTTAATTAAATCTGACACCTATGATCAACATCAGATTTATTATTCATAAGGAACCATAATTGATAATCAGGAAAAATAATTTATTTTGTGAACCCCCAAGGTCTGAGTAGACATGCATTATTAAAAGTTTCATTTTTGGATGGCCTTGGTATTATTTATTATTTGGGTGGTGCAATTTTTTGTTATGTCAATGACAACATCAAATGTATTTAATAATCATAATAATCACCATGAATATTTAATAGAGCAGGTATTCACAAAAGGAAAGGGTTAAATAGCAACAAAAAAGCTAAGTTTGTTTTTTATCAACCAAAATATATAATTAATTGTATTTAAAAATTTGTTATTTTATTCCATTTTGTAATGGAATTAGCTTCAATAATTCTATTTCCTTAGTATTAATGATTTAATCAATATACAAGTGGTGGTCAATTTAAATGGCATTCATTTTTTTAAATGTGTAAAATTTTTTTAAAAGATGTTTTTACAATAATGATTTTTAATATTTGTAAAAT